AATCTTTTGTATTATGTTGTCCTCCACATTTGACGCAGTAATGCGGTTTAGTGCAATATGTTTTACTATGACCATATGATTGACATCGCATGCATTGAATGATTGAGTTTCTCTTATGTGGTGCCTCGACTGCTATTTTGCCGTGACATACGAATTCTAGGTTGAATATGTCTTTGTTGTTACTGTTGGGTACAAGATCTATGAAAAACAAAGATAAGGGTTCCTTTGTTTGTCTGTGTTGAATGTTAGTTATATTGCGAACTTTATGGCCGGCTTTTTCTAGTTCCTTTTTTATATCTGTTGTGGGTATAGAGTGATGGATATGTCTTATTACCACTCTATAGGCACGTTCTTCCTTTATTTGGTAAGTGTGGTGAATGATTTCTTCCTCCCGTAAATGTCTTATCAGTTTACGGTATGTATCTATTGTATATGTTGTATTCTAGACAGTATCGTTTGGTAGAGTTCTGGTATAGTAAGTTTCTTCCTCCACAATTTGTCCAAAGTTATGGACCATATCTTTAAAGTTTTTGACGCCATATACGAATATAGGAGGTGGTTTTGGTATTTTCTTATGTTTTTCTGTTTCAGTCTGTTCAGAGCTCTCGGCGTTAGATAAGGCACTGTATCGATTTTGTATTTTTGTTGGTGGTGAGCTTGGAAAATTGGAATCATTATTTTGTTTTGAAAATTTACGTTTTTTGACTACTTGCCATGAGTTTTTATTTTGGGTTTCTTGATCGTCGTCTTCGCTACACTCCATATCCGAGTTTTCTGAATGTCTAATTGCAAGTTTTAGCTTTGTGTTTGAGGTCTATCTGCTTGATAACATCAAATGTAGGAAGATGGCCTATTTTGGACACGTAGTAAGAGGAGACCGATATAATATTCTTCAACTTATTATGATGGGTAAAATCCAAGGACGCAGAGGAATTGGTAGAAAGCAGGCCTCTTGGTTAAAGAACATCTTCTGTCATATTGGTTAAAGTAAAAATTTCAAAACAATGTGAAAAGTAGTCAGTGGCAATCAAGTACCACTTATTATAACATTTAAATAAATCAACCCCCAGTTTTTGCCACGGCCTTTGTACAGTATTGTCTTTATGAAATGTTTCTCTATGATTTACTCTATGTTCAACACATTGGGGACAATGTGTGACAAGATTATTAATCTGGGATGACAAACCCAGCCACCAAACGCTCTGTTTGGCACGATCTCGACATTTTACAATTCTCATATGGCCTGTATGAATAAATTCCAACACCTGAGTTGAAGACTCTTAGGAATGATTATGCGAGACCCTTTTAAAAGTAATTGTTTCGAATAGGAAATTTCATATCTATATTGATAGTATGGCAACAATTCAAATGGCAATTTAGATCTTTCAGGCCAAGAAGACAAAGAATATTCGTTTAGTTTTTTACAAATATATTCATTTTCTTGTTCTGTTTTTATTAAATTCAAAAAATAATCTTTAATTGGTAAATTATGAATAATTGACTGCACATATGCTGCAGTTTCTGCAGTTAGTTCATTATTAGCTAACGTATCTGTTTGTAAAGGGGCCCGACTTAAAGTATCTGCTACAATTATGGTTTTATTAACATCAAAAAACGCTAGATTTGGAGGGCTCTCTAACTTTTGTTTTAAAGTGCTGAAAGCTTTATCTTGTGCTGGACCCCACAAAAAGTAAATATTTTTTTTTAGTAAGTGTGTTAATGGTTCAAGAATTTCAGATTTATTATGAATGTATTTTGCAGCAAAATTAATCATACCCAGCCATCTTGACAGCTCGGTCTTATTTTTTGGTTCAGGAAAATCACGGATACGCTTTTAACCCTATCTGTATCAATTAATATCCATTGCTTAGAGACCATATGACCCAAGTATTTAGCTGTTTTTGTTGCTATAGAGCATTTGTTTTTATTTACTGAATCCCTTCCTTCGTCGTCTGTACTACTGCTACTGGTGAACCTAGAACACTTAACAGCTCTGACAGATTTCTTCCTGCACATCACCTTCCAATGACCTCTACGTGAACAAGATCTGCATTCAGAGAACTTGGCTGGACATTTCTTCCTATTTTTACATGTAGGTATGCCACAGTATCCACATCTGTAACCTTCCTTAACTTTCTCATGAGTTGTTTCTTGTTTAGCAAAACTCTTACCTTGATGTATTTTATCACTACGCTCCCTGTAGTCCTGTTTAACTGCACTAACTGACTGCTCCTGTCTCATAATTCTATTTTGACTATCTTGAAGTTATATAGTATATATAGTATAGGTTATGCATAAGATTTGCACTGCTGTCACGTTCGGTCACTCTTTGCTTGTTTAATGTTAACAAAACAAAGCACCAGCTGCCACCATGTCATGTTATCGAAGAGCAGTTACAAATAATAATCGTTACTTCACATAAACATCAGTTTATTCTCAACCCTAAAACATACATCCATGCCCGAGCTTCGGCTACCTTCACATGACATGTCTAACCCCCGTCATCCGTGTTGCCTAACTCCGGCACCTATATCTTAAACTAGGCTAACAACACAGTATACTTGCCTTATTTTTACTTATACACAATTTATTTTTGATAATAACTGGAGCAACAATCACGATCCACCAAAACAACAAATAATAGATAACTGCAGACATTGAGAGGCAGATTTTCGATCACTTGAAGCAGGCGAGGTAGGAGTATACAGTATAAAGCACGCCATAATATTTAACTACTGGTTGATATTTTACCTGAAATCGTTGCCGGCAAGAGCCTCGACGATATCTGGATTATTTTTCGACTATGAACTTAATCCTAGACGGAGAAAAAATAAGTGGTTAAAAAATCAAGCAGTAACCGCTAAAGGGTTAAGTGAAAAGACGTCCACAAGATCCTTATAATCCAAGAAGGTCTAAGTTTGGCTACATAACGTCATTTAACGTTTTTGTAAATTTCCAAATATTAAGTGTACTGCTTTGCCCTGACTGTCCCCACTTATCGCCTTTTGTTACTTCTATACATTCCTCGTGAATATACCGAATACCATAACTTTTTTTTAATAATTCAGTTTTGGCTTTGCTAAACTATGCCATCGTGCACTAAATAAATCTCTGGTAACTTCTTGTGCTTCCACATTAATGGCTTATCGACGTTTTTTATTGATATTTTTAACTCAGGTCTAATCAGGAAACCATTGGAAACAAAACTGGGTCTTAGTGTTTATATGCCTTTGGCTCACTTTGTTTTGCAGCCTTATTTTTGTGACATTTATGTGAGGTATAAACAGCATCACTAGTCCTCTTTGGAAGCTTGCGTAAGACTCAGATCAGTCTTCATCTGAGATGTGAGTTTGAAAAACTTTATTCAGCCCTCTTTTTGTAATAGTCATTGCCAGTTTACTCGAGAAAGGTTTGATTTTATTATTTTAGTTTATAACGCTACCACTACTGCAAAATGGCTGTTCTTCGAAATTTGTATTATTATTGTCAGTTGATTTAATTTCTAGTTCGGTTACAGGATTTTCTTGCAAATCTTTGCAAAAACTGATTTTTCAAGTGGTTAAAGCTCATGGATGGTGTTAAAAGGTAGACAAAACAGAGTTACGTCTTTTTCATTGCAGCTTCTAAAATTCGAGTGTCTAAATGTCATGAAGCACCATCAAAAATTAAAACGGCAGGTCCAGGATTTTTGAATCCATAAAACTGATCCAACCACTCTATAAATACTTTGTTTTTTGTTTTTGCTGAAATATTATAATACCATTCAAGCTTTACTCGTTGCCCTTTCATAAATATAAGTGGCAGATTATTGTTGACTATGCCGTTGCCACATGCCACTATTGTTCATTTTCGTCATGCTCTGGAGCGACGATATGTGCCCTTTTAGCACCTTTACTAGCCAATACAGTTGGTTGGTGATGAAAAGTAAGCTAGCCTCCTTTATCGTCCATATTTTAAATTCGCAGGTTTTCCTGCGAAACCTTTCCCACATAAAATATGTCAAAGTTTTTAGAAATAGTCACTGAGAGTTGAGAGTTAAAGGCGTGCTCACATCACAAAATCTTTAATGACTACTGGAGGCAGTCGAAGTCGTTTTTATGAACTGCCACTAGCTAGATGGTTACGGAACGCTGAGGAATATTAAATGTAAGTACTGCCCTAAACAGATATGCCATTTCGTATAGCATTCTTCGTAGCTTCAATGACTTCTTCGGACCATTGTGCCCTTTTCCCGGTGGACAGTGGACATGTCTGCAAAGAAAAAATATTTTAAGTGATTATGCAAACTATTTTTTTATAAAGCCAACTTACTCTTAATACGCCCAGTCGATTCCTAATAAGGCCAATCAATTGGGCTTATCGAAGCACTGTCTATTTCTTTATTTAACCTTAACACATTGCCTACCATAGAGGATTTTGTAATACTTTCCATTCACGCAATAATGACCGAGCCGGCACCACAGTTACATTAAAATTCCCGGTCAATAGACCTCGCTGGCGTGCAGCGCAATTTTTTTCTCGGTCACATAGACCGAGACGGCAGGTAATGTGTTAAATAACAGCATTCATAAAAAAATCCATTCATTTGGTACTGCTTTACAACGAAAACACAGTTGGCACATATTATTTAAGTAACTCTGTAACAGTGATTTTATAACTTACATAAAATGTATAACTGAACTTTGGTACCATAACAAACACGTGTCTAGTATACTTGGCACTTCTATTTGATATTGAAAACTGAATGTTGTAGACGATCTTGGCTAGAAAAGCGACATCTTTTATTTAATATCTATATTTAAGAAAATATTTACAATTAGCCTTATTAAATGCATTAATTATTTATCTAATTAGGCTAATTATTTATCGCCACTACCTTATCAATTTTTATTTTTTATATTCTCTGGCATTTTATATCCTTTCAAAGTTACTTACTACGTTTTAATTTTAATTTTATGAAGCTGAAAATTTCCTTAAAAATATATTTACCTATTTTGTAGAATTCCACTGAAAAAGTTTGAAAAGCCGAGGGATTCACTTAACAGAAATGGACTAAAGGAAGCATTATTAGCCAAATATAGCGGAAATGTCAATGACGATAGCGCTGTCGTTTTAACTAACTATTTAGATGTAAGTTGTGTTTACTTTAATAATTTATTTTCTTGTAAGTTAAAGTAACATAATATCTTGGAAACATCCAGCGACCAATTTTTGTGAAAAGGTATAAATTTATTGAAGCTACTACAGCTTTTAAAAACTAAACGCAACGACCTAATTTCGCTAATTTGATAGTAGTAATATAAAATTGTATTAGATGTAACGTAAACAAAATCATTTTCAAAAAATATGAAAATCAACTCTTTTTTGTATATATTCTTTTCTTCAAAATATATACTTAAGTATATTGAAGTATCTCCACTGTTAAAGGCAAGTTACGATCCAAATATCATCATACTCATCATTTAACTTTTGACAAAAGTTAAAAAGGTTTTGAAACTGTTTTCTTTCATTAAAATTTAAAAACTTTGACAAGAATTTTATATGCTAAATTATGACCTATGTGTGTAAAAAAAAGTTTTGTAAGATTTCTGCCATTTCCAAGGCAGGCTTCCAACTAGTATAAGTTGTTATAATATATAAAGTTTAACAGATTTATACCTTTAGTACAAATCTTCTACTCTTTGATATCATATTGATTCTGGCTTCACAACCGTATGTTGTCCTAGCCTCCCTAAGAATTTCTGTTTAATCGTCCATATCCATCCTCCGCAAGCACGTATTCCTATATTTCTCATGTTTTCATCGAATTTGTCAATGAATATTTCAATATTATGAACCTTGTTCTGGATCTTCCTATTTTTTTCTGACCAATGGGTCTATCCAGCTCATATAATTTAGGATTTAAGGAAGATATTGATATAAATATGTAATGAGTATCTCTGTCATATTTAATTTTTTTTTTTCTAAAATTTACCTTAGAGTTTAAATCTGATGAATTATCGATTATCCACCTCTGAAACCAGCCTGGTATTTTTCTATTATTCGTTCTGCACATGGAGCCATACGGTGGCATAGTAAGGCTGATAATATTTTATACGCTGCATTTAGAAGCGTAATTCTTTTTTGGTTAGAGCATTCAAAGATACCTCTTTTTGTGTATGGTGTTCTGTAATATATATTCTTTCGCAAGTTAACATGCTCCTTTTCTAACTTGGCTCCACCGTACTGAACTGACTTTTTGTTTTCCTGTTTTGCGAGACATGCCATTACATTTCACTTATATATATATATATATATATATATATATATATATATATATATATATATATATATATATATTATATATATATATATATATATACTATTATAAAAATTAATATTAAACTCACCAGCCTTCGAACCGGGTTGAACTCACCGGGTTGAACCGCGTTGATATCCATTGCGCCCAGCTTTCGACATCCTCTCCGATTTCTTCTTCAGGGCTTCCGAGGTCACAGTCTCCCGTGCCCCGAGACACTACTACACTTGTCACTGTTCACTTCACTATCACTACTGAAAGGGTCATTCATCGAGATAAAAGATAGATACTAGGATGTATACCATTCAAATGACGAATGTATTATTAACATATCGCAGCCAGGTTTGACCAATGATTTAGATAGTGCTCGGGTCTCGAAATCTTCCATAAAGATATTGGCAATTACTGGAGATAGAGTGGAGTCCATTGGATCACCATTTATTTATATGTAGAATTAATTTTTGAAAGACGAAGTAAGTGTTGAACATAGAATGTTTAATAAGAGATAAGTGGTCTTGCGGGATACGAGTTTCGTCTATAGGAATGTTTGTAAAAGTGAAATAATAGCAAAACTTACTAGAATGTCTGATCGTGAGATACGAGTTTTGGTCAAGTATTTGGCCAATAGTTGTGTGGGGCAAGAAAATATCGTCCGCTCGATCGTCCAAGAGGCTCAGTCAAGAGAATTTTTTTATATGGAAATTATACTGCATAAACTGATATAAAGTATATTTCACAAGGTAATATATATTTTCAGGCTCAATATTATGGAGAAATTGGTATTGGAACTCCTGCTCAGAGCTTTAATGTAATTTTCGACACTGGTTCATCGAATCTCTGGGTACCCTCCAGCAAATGTGGATTTTTGGAAGTTGCTTGTTGTAAGTTGCTTTTTATATGATAAAAAGTATAAATTTTTTAGAAATATTTGTGGTGGATATCTACAACGAAATAAAGAGTTCTGAGGTTTTATCCACCAGGAATCTTTATCACTAAACCCACAAATCCTCAAATAAGAAATAATAATTATAAAAATAGGTAGCTAAATAAATACAATTAATAAAAATTTCTAATAAAGTTTAAGAACAATTAAACATATTGCAAAAAAAATAATATAAAATAACAAAATAAAACCTTAAATCATTCTATTAAAAATATCCGAAAATTTAATCAAATAAAATTTTGAAAATAAAATGAAATGATTTTTGTATTACATTTTTTTGAATTTAAAAATTGTATTGGTGATTTTGTATTTAAAACTATATTTTGTGTTCATTTTAAGACTTATTTAACAAAAGATTAATAATACGTTCATGTACTTTTTAGTACTTCATAACAAATACGATTCCGATAAATCTTCTACCTATGTAAAAAACGACACCCAATTCGCAATTAGATATGGTTCTGGAGATGTTGCAGGGGTTGTTTCCCAAGATGTTGTTGAGGTAAGTGAGCTAATATTAAATTATTAACCAAATTATATTTTTCAAACATTTTTTGAATGAAATTATTCTTAACTTAACTGAAAGACATATTATCTTAATAGTAATTCAAAGTTTTTCAATACTTTTTCATTAAGTTAACAATGAAATACTGTGTAATACAGAGGATTTCATTAATATGTGTAAATATTTAAATTTGCACTATTTTAAAGTCAAAGTATGACGATTGATGCCAAATAAATTTAGGCAAAATATTCCTTCTCTGTGAGTTGCCGGTTGTTTTATTTAGTTATTATTAAATGGATTTTGCTCAATATTTTAATATTCCCTGAAATTTATTTATCATATTTTTTAACAAGTCTAACTAATTTCAACCCTTGTTTGGATGTATGGCATAGGGCGGAGGAAAGAGAAGAATTCTACATTCGGCGTCACTGTCGATAGTTCTAGTTTAGTACGATTTTTCAATATCCTAATACATACATACTAGTTAAATAAAGTAGTCTTAATAATGAACTCACTACTTTTCCCTTATATGTAGTGGACAGTTTCAAGGATGGTCCTTAGAGAAAAATATTGTAAAAATAGAAAAATAAAAGAAGCGGCTCTTGGTATGTTAAATGAAACCAATAATTGCTTCCAAAATTACTCCGGCAGAATCCAGTAGAATCTGGTTACCCATATTAATAAAAATCAATAAAAAGAAAATAAAGGTATTACTATTTACATTTCATCATTAAGCCCATTAAGTAGAAACTTGGATAATATCAGTAAAAAAATTAATAAAATTCCATCGGGACAACTAAGTAAGGATATGGAAGTGCATGCTGTGTATATTACATGTGACAAAATGTCCGTATTTGTAACTCGGAACAGCACTTTGTCATGCAATAGAAGATATAACAGTCTTTCTCTCCTAAAAGATAATACTATACTACAATTATAAACCTAACCTAAAATATAATATTACACTAAAATTATAAATTCAACCTTTTTCGAGCTACTATCATTCTTTTGGAGCGCCGCAAAGGAACCTCTGAACAATCTGAAGATATGATACTTGGATCGCTTGAACTATGAGAAGCTGATTTATTAGTATCAATTGGTTCTGATTGTACCTCTGGTATATTGGTGGTAACACCACTTGTCGTTGACTCACGAGCAGCTGTTTTTGGTTCCCCATATATTCATTTATAACCCTGGGGGTATAAATGAATATATGGCAAAATATTAATATATATATATATATATATATATATATATATATATATATATAAGGCAAAACATTATTTTCTGACTGTAATGGTGTATCTTCCCCTATAGCTCTTAACGGATCAATATGTCGTTTTCAGTATTGACCATCATCCAGTTTAATTATATAATGTAGTTTTTCCAGTTTTTCTACTACCCATCCAAATCTTCATTTTTTTAATGTATATAATCTGTGGCATCCATCCTTTCTCCCTTATTTAAAACTCTTTAACTATCATCTTGAGCTGTGTGATAAACAATTTTTGGTTTAATGTATCTAACCTTGACCGAATAGCTCTACGAACATAAGAGTCGAAAGACTTATACTTACTTGTAGTAGTATTAGGTGTCATTCGATATTTAAATAAAAACTTGTTTAATTTTAGTTCTTTATCACCTTTATTAAAATGTAGACTACGCAGAGACTATTTGACAGTTTGTATATATCTCTCTTGAATAAAAAGCCAACATATCTAGAAGATAGGTACATTTAGAAGAGAAGCATATATCTCCCTGCTAAAGCGTTCGTACTAGTGTGATATGGTGCACTAAACTGATGTAAAATGCCATTTTCATTCAAAAATCTTTTAAATTCATATGAAACAAGAGTTTGGGTGTTATCTGATACTAAGTAAAACAGAATTCCGAAAGTTGGAAAGATCTTCCTTATCACATTTATTGCAGTTTAACCTATCGTATAATTTACCTTATGTACTAACCAACTAGTATATGCGCCCACAAGTATTAAAAAATACTTATTCATAAAAGATCTTGCAAAATCTATATGGACACGTTCAAATGGCGCGGTAGGCGTTTGTCATGGATGAACAACGGTACTTTACTCTATTCTATTTTTACTCGTTCTATTTTTATACTCTATTTTGTGTTAAAACTTTGCAAAAATAAAGCATAGTGTTGCATTCTTTTCATTGTAAGTGTAGGCAAACTTTTTGAATGTGGCAAGATTTGTAACAGTTGATTATCAACCAGTAATGTTTACCAAACAGATAATAGTAGAAATTTTTACTTCATAAATTATAACATAAGCCTCTTAGTCTAGAGATGTTTATGATAATTTAATGAGGATAATGTTAAGTAGTAATAATATAAGGAACGGCATGACTCAGTAGAGAATATCCTTTATCAAGAGATAGCTTTTAAATTGGAACTTCTCAAAACAAACCATCTCCCATATTATCAATACGTTCCTGAGAGTAAGCTTGAGAATGACAACTACAAGCTATACTGGGATCGCACTGTGCATACAGACCAAATAGTAGTACATAATAGACTTAATAAACTAACGAGACAAACAACATTAATCGATGTGGCGATACCTAACAACAATAATCTGCGTGTTAAATACAACGAACATATCTTTAAGTACAGAGATCTATATATATATATATATATATATATATATATATATATATATATATATATATATATATATATATATATATATAACAAGCGAGTCTTCTACAGCTGGCGCCGCTTCTCGCATCCTAATTTCCAGCGTTTCGAAGCAATCTTCAGTAGTTAGATCTCTGGCGGTCATTGCATCGTCGACATCGTCTCTCCAGGATCGTCTGTAAAGAGATCTTGAAATACAAATAAGGAGACAATGTAGAATACAGAGATCTTCAAATAGTATATTTATATATACATTATATATACATGAAATGTACAGTACAGAGATCTTGCAATACACATAAAGAGACAATGTAGAATGAAAAGTATCTCACGAATGACAATTACCAAAGCTCAATCCTTTTGTGTTTGAAATGTTGTATTCGTACGTATTTTGTAGATAAACCTAATCGATGTCTTTAGATTAAATAAATATACTTCTAATTTGTAATTCACATTTTTATTTGTGTCAGCAATGGCCATGTAAGCGAATGCCATGTATATTCTTTTTCTTTTTTCATTTGTTAATTTGGTCTTAGCTACCAGGGATATCTGGCCAGGATCTGTGTATTTATACTGATTGTTTAAGAGCCATACCTAAGTTACAGCTGGTTCCTAAAAACAGATACGACTCTTAAAGCGTATTTTGTAGAAAATTGAGCAGTGTATTTTGAAGGATAAATACTTATTATTTACATACTGTCACTGATCAAATTTTTAAATGTGTCACATAACTTATTCTATTCAACCTCAAAAAATCGTCTCCACTTGCTAGCAAAGAACTAAGCAGAACAACAATTTTTATTGTTATTAAAAGATGAAGAGAACAATAAAATCTCGACAGAAAGCAAGGTTCTGGAGGACCAAAAATATCTACCGCTTACGAAGATCGTACGGTTTTGGAGAGATTATAATAGAATCCTTTTGAAGATACCAAAACTGTAAGAATTATGTCACAGTTTCCGGGAAGTAAGACAACAACTCGGCACGACTACGACAAAGCATCGCGTCTTAGGTACCGAACCGCAGCAAAAATACAAGCTCTTACACCACAACAGAAGCAATCAAGACTTATCTATTTGCTTTAAACCATCAGCTACAAAATCAACATTTTTGGGACAGGATAATATTTACAGATGAGAAAATTTTTCAATCTTTTAAAAAGGACAAAATTGGAGTGTATATGTCGCAGCCAGATGGTTAAATTAACCGTTTGATAGAACAGCTAACTCTTTAATTGAATAACGTCATTCAATCACATGTCTGAATGTTTGTTAGCCGAGTGGCTGACGACCACAGATATAATGTTTAATAGATCAGCTAGTCGACGATCAGTCATGCAATCGAACAGCTAATTGAAATAGTCATTTAGTTGCACGGCTGACTCTTTCATTTAATTGAACAACACGTTATGATGTCTTACTTATAAAATGATATTGATATAATTGCATAAAAATTCGACAAAATAACTAGTCGTGTGAATAGCGTTGTTCAAACAAAGGGCTAGCTGTTTAATCGAATGGCTTATTAACCATCTGGTTGCGACATATAGACCAGGTAATAAAAGATTTAATAATATATATGTTGATAGATATCGAGCAGCGGGTCATTTTATCCTCAATGTATGGGGATGGATTTCAACTCGGGGAATGGGAATGGTATGGCAGGTTGTTTGGCAGACTTATTTTAATATTCTAGAAAACATCATGTTTCCCAGTGTTGAACAATTGTCCTGTTCACACTTCAAATATAATTAACCAGTGGCTCCAGAATAACAACATCGAAACCTTACCATGGTCCAGATTTAAACCTAATCGAGAATATGTGGGTTATTATAACACGGTTGTATCGGCGTAATTTTATACCTCAAAATGCTGAAGAGCTGTGGCATGGTATACAACAGGTTTGGGAAGAGCTCTCTGAAAAAGATAATTTCATAGTTCCTATCATGCAGATGGACCGAAGACTACAGCTGTTATCAATGCTGATGGAGATATATCAAAATATTCACTTAATTTTTACATACCTAAATTTAGTATAGTTTTGGTCTTCCAGACCCTCGCTTTCTTTAAAAGTTTCTTGTTACTACATTTTTTATTATTAGAAAAACTGTGGTTCTGCTTATGTTTAAATGTTTTGCTGCCTCTGATAGTGCCCAGTTATCCTTTAATTTGGTTACAATTATTGCTTTAATATTTTGTTGAGTTAAGTCGTTGGTTTTATTCCTTAATAATAATAAAAATAATAACACCAACCATATTTATGTAAAAACTATCATTTATGTACTCTTTATAAAATGCAGGAATTCAAAATAATATCAACATTTAGACCTTAATAATTAT